CAGTGTGCTTCAAAATTTTTTAACACAGTATATGTATCCTATAGCTAATCGAAAGCAGAATATAAGGTATAAGACCAGAAAAGCCGTTTTGTAGGCTTACTAACTTACAAAACCCTCTTTTCAAACAAGTACATTGACCGATAATTTGACTAAGAACTGTTGCTTCATTTCAACAGCCACGGTTATTGTATGGAAGTCGGAGGCACAAAACCCACCCAAGCAGACTCAATGTAGAGTGCAAAATACATCCAGTGCTAACGTATTTTCGCAATGAACCATAGTACCATACATATCATTCATAACCATAGACGATAGAGCAAAGTCTCTTCCCTAATTCTATCATTTCCACAACACCTGAAGCAACTTAATTATTAAAAAATTATTTTTGCTATCAAAATACCAAAAAGACCAGTGCTGAAGAAAAATTGCTCGTATTCCATCCGGAGACGCAAAACAGCGCTTACCCGTCATGGATTAATGATGTATCATGGATTGAAATCATTGCTAGAGGTGATTGAGTAACATATTTGGCTCATACAGTAACCACCAGTGGCCAACCGATATATCAGACCAGTGCTGCTCTCCTACAAGACAATTCTGCTGGCAAAGTGTAGATCCCGGAGGCGTGAAGGGCTTAGAGACCAAAGGGGTGAGACTGAACTAACCACCCCATGTATATTGCAGTGCATATCTAATCACTGCGCTACTCACGTTCCTTGGCACCAAGTATAGAGTAAAGCGTTCTAAGAGTAACACTAACTCTGAAGAAGAGATCAAGCTTGACTGTTTTCGCCCTTGGAAATTAAGTAGCAGTGCTTTTAACCACAATAAAAAGGTGCGTGTAACGCACTAGTAAGAGGCGTCCTGCGATACACATGAGTTCGATCCTGCGCGCTAGGCTCACAAAGCCTTATACACTTTCCGGATCGACAAGTTGGTACCAGGTTTGTCTAGAAGGATAGCAGCACTAGCTAAATACATCGATGGGCCATGACGAGTCATTGTATAGGACAGATAAGCATTCATGACCTTTAACATTCGTAAATGAAGTCGAATTTATAGAGCATCCTTGGGGGATTGATCAATGCAGAAAGCTTTATCCTTTTTGACCACAATAATGCTGTGATATAGACAAGACTCAGCATCTCAGATAGGCTTTGACCCCACGTCCCACTCTATGGCTTCCTGAAATTGTTTTCTTACAAGAAACGCATCCCAACAAAGAGAGTTTAGACCAGATAGTTCTCTGCACTCCACATTTTTCTCGAATTCGAGTTTTCTACTTCGTTAAAAAAAAAGGTTAGAATTCCTCGAAACTGTTCGAAAATAGGACCACATTAGGCAATCCTAGTAATGAAACTGGGTGAACAAAAACCACAAGAAAATATGGAAATTGAGATTTCGGAAAGCAAACCAGACACTTCTTCATCAATTTTTTCACAAGCTAATGAATAGTGGTATTATATTACCGCAAAATTATTGGCAATAACTATTTATTGGTAGTTGTGATATTCATTCAATAGTCCAATTAATGTTGCGGAAGCTATGAAACATGACTAGAAGTAAGTTCATCGCAATAGCATTGCGGAACTCCAAACACATCTAGCACTTGATCAATCCACACTTTTTCAGGATAATAATGAAAAACCTTTACATAAGCATTTGATTAATTCGGAGAAGAAGTACTGCCACCATTAGCAGTATCATCTCTGTACACTTCTCAAAATCGTGCATTAATAGTTTATTATTTTTATGATGTTTACGGTGATTTAAACTATAAGCGTGATGAAATATACTATATTCGACTTCAGATAATCCGTAAACCAATGCATGAAAAGAGATGAAAGCATCTGGCGTTAATCAAGAGTCCAAGAACAAGCCGTGCACTTGATTGAATTCGTAGAACCGTTAAATTCACTGGACAATACATATCTAGCCTATACAAAGGCCTTCGATGACCTAATGATGTATCAAATCCGTGTTTTTATCCCTTCAGTTAAGTCTGCTATCAAGTTACAGACGTCGAAAAGGTGGAGAATTTGTTATCTGTGGGCACGACAACGAACTAAGTGTACTTTGAAGGCAGGCCACTCTAACCGTTACGTAGCAAGTAATGTTTTCTAGCTTTTGCAGCTGATAAGGCTGAAGAGTATGCATGTTCTCAGAACAAACGAAGCTTTCATTTGTAGAAGAACGCTGGCTATTGCTCTCAATACAAGTCTCAGGATGTTTACATAAGGGAAATGCACAATGAGCAATTTTGATTCGAAAGATAGTGACGAGAGCAGCGTTCATTCAATCTCAGATGCTCGATGTCTTCAGCAATTCCCCTTCTACGCTCACAAATAATAGCCTCTTCAACAGATTATTTATCTCGTCAAAACGGCGAACACCTTTATAACCTACCAATAAAACAAATCACATCTTCAAGAAGAAAATCGCAGCTTGCTCATCGTTCTCTACCAACTTGTGCACCTTTGCCAGCGAGAAATTATCTCGTACTCACGAGAAAAATAGTAGATAATGCCCAGCTCTACAATGCAGATGGACACACCATCATGATAACCTTTACCACTAAACCATTGTTGGTACCACGGCGCAATGGCGAATAGTTAATTGTTGCCCACCGAATTAAAGTGCTCGTCGTAATTCATCCGTTTTTTTTTTGTTTTTCATTTATTTCTTCACCAACATGCGCTAAAAAATCCCTAATATCTACTTTTTTTAACAAAGAAAACGACATCTTGCCAACACATACAAAGGAGGACGATTCATCATAGCCTTGAACATAACCATTCACTACTTTCCGTTTTTAACAGCACTCCTTTTGTAGTATCTTGTTGATTCCATAATGCACAAACAAGAAAAAATTACCTTATTTATGCCTGTGACACAAGAAAAAACAACAACATAGATAATCTACAGTGAAAGTCGATTAAACAACATTGCTACCCGTTGTAAACGTTAAACTAAGGAAATGACAGTTCATCTGGATAGAACAACAATGATAAAACAAGAAAAAGGCTTCAGAACACGATAACGATGATGATGGTACTGAATATCACCAGATCTTTCTTTGTTGTCTTTTACATCTATAGCCTACGGCAAAAGGCCATAAACTATCGTCATTAATCTGACGTCAGTCCTCTTTTGCCTACGTATTGTCTCTAGCACCACTTTAACACTCTCACGAAGGTTAAAGGTCACATTTTCTTCCTTTCTTTGAGATGATCGAAATCCCATCATAGACACTTAGTGCAGTTACACCTTACATAGCTCATGAACTGTTGGCAATTTCTTACAATGGTTTTTACATAGGGGAAAAAAGAAACTCCCTTCGATTATCAACGAATCATTACCAATACGGCATATGGCAAAATGTAAGCATACATAAGCAGTACATGTCTGCTTCCAACATAGTAATGAATACTGTGGAAAGAAATTAACATATCAATGCAACTACTACTTTTATAACTGGTATCCGATCTTAAACTACATTTTATAAAGAATAACTTTAGACGTACAGAAAACAACATGTGACACTGAACTACATTCTTCAGCAACAGATCAAAATAAGCACTATTATGCTTATCAAAGTAGCGGTACGTAATAAGTTTAAGAAGAAAAAAATGTGTGCTAGTAAATTAGTATCCGCCATTAGGAATGTAAAGTGGACTGTGTTGATATGAGACGAACTGACCACTGGACCATGCATGATTTGGTGAAATCGACGGCGATGGTGGTGAATTCGGCAAAGATCTAAACCGAAACCGACAATATCGACACGTTTTATTTATGAAATAACATTTGTAAGCACTAAAAAAACCTACTCTTCAAAGTTTGCCAGCGAAAATGAATGAGTATTTGTCAGTGGAAGCGTGCTGAGCGCGTCAAAATCATTGGAAAACGATTCTGCTAGAAGTGACCTAAACCAGGCTGGAGACCGTTAGTTTAACAGATAATCCAGTTTTCTCAGATTTAATAAAAATAAAATTATTAGTTTTCAAGACCAATGACATTCCCATTATGGAGTTTCCAATGTCAATTGATTAAAACACCATGTCAGATGTACTCGTTTCATTACTATTTACGAGACAAGCGCTGAAAATTCGGCGCTATTTTGCAGCATTCTCTTATACGGCTCACCGCCTCCTCATCATCGTTTCGGCGGGGTGTTCCTGAATTTTCAACTGCTGCCTAAAACCAAACGAGCACCCTAGTGTCTCCAACAGAGACTCCCTCACTTTAGCTAAGGAATTCAATGTTTTAATCTACAAATCACATAAAAAGCCAATCATCAACAATTATGTCGCTATATTAGCAAATTAGTTTTGAAGCAGCAAATTCCATCAGTTCCATAAAAGCAGACCACCATCGTTGGTGATAAGCTAGGAATGTAATCGCACTGCCATCGCGGAATTCTATTAAAAAACTAAATCAGTGGAGGTGAATATCCAAGAATTCTATGTTATTGCGATCACTATTTTCATACACCCTTATTTGGTTAGCTTTACACATTTCCTCTATAAATGCACATAAGCAAGTTCACTTACGTTTTATCAGTATGAGAGTCGGTAGCAAAGTCACTGCTATCTGAAACGCCAGAAGCAACGGACAGAATACCTGCAAAGTTGAGTTTGGGAATTAATAGATAGCTCTAAAATTATCGAACATTGTACCATGGACAAAAAACGAAATAATCCACAGGGTTAGAACCAACCTGTGACCTCAATCGCCTTTCTATGAGAGGTCACAGAAGCAACTGGTGTCACAGTGACAGCACTGGTTACTGACAACCATTTACTATGCTTGGTAATTCTTGTTTTTCTGCTTAAAAGTTTAACCGTACAACTCGACCACGCATTCTGAATGATAATGCAGATCAGGGTGTTTCTCCGTAGCACCATCGCAACTTCAGAGCCAGGAAAAACTCGACATCGAAACGATCAACAAGAATGAAGAAAAAACAGAACAGGATTAAGATCGGGCAATTACTTAACCTACAGACCTTTTCCTGCAGTAGATTTGCTTTGCTCCTCGATACCGGCAAGCATGAGTTCCTCTATTAGCACATCTACGTGAGCAAGACCACTCAGTTTCGACAGCAGTATGTCCTCGCAAAACGAGTTTGCTAGCGACTGAAATTTTTCAAAACTGTTTAGCACAAGAATCAGCGGTAAAGCAAAAATGTCATACTTACCGACAACGGCGATAGCAAGAACAGTGTCAGATCACCTAGTCGTGTTTTTTCGTCGTGTTTATGAGTTCGCAAGTAGTATTCCAAAGCCGTGAATATACGCCTCCTCGTGTTAAGCACCGTCGTCACCGCCAGGGGAGATAGGCCTTTTGCCACTAAGCAACGAATGTAAATTATTTCGTAAACATTTGAGGAGAAAAGTAAAATTCCAAAACTTATGAACGAAGAGAAAACTTGGAAAGTACCTTGCCACATTGACAAATGTGAAAAATAACACCCGGACTCCTGCGAATTCTTCTTGAAAAATGGACTAGATCAATTGATCTTAATACCTGAATGCCACCTTACCCAAACTAGCAAATAGTAGTATTGAATCTGATTACTCTACTTAGTTATGTACGCATACTTAGAAGGCGTGTACAGAGCACCGGTTAGAAACGAATATATATCGGATCAAACGTTAATACAACGCCGTTTTCCGTGATCAACAAGCTTTCCATCCCTCTTGGGCTTCCAAAATGGTAACAAACTTGTCTGGGAAGATATACTCAGTCACCTCTACGACGCTACAAATGGAGTCGAATGCACAACACATCCACCGAAGATTGATTAACACCGAGCGATTTGTCCTCTATCCATTAGCTACAGCTAGAACGTATCCCTACGCATTATGGTACCCATAATTGACTCTCTGCCTGATTTTTTACCTGGCACCACAAGACGTTTAGTAAACTGGGAAAATATCTTAAAGCTTTTATACAAACCTCGTACCAGGTCAATCATGTGAAAAAACTGTTAAACAAAAGGACTTTACTTCAGCGGACTTAAGATTCGCATTTAGCAAAGTATCGCCACTTATGGTCCGTATATAAGAAATGGTAGTTATCTATCGTTTTGAGCATACAATATAAATAGATATCCTAGAAAAATCCATAAATAATCATTGCAATGCTGTCGAGCTTGATTTTTCTTAAGATGCATCTAAACGTCTTGTTTCTTTGGCTCCAGTTTCCATAGGGTGATACACATTTCCTCATCAGGAGAAAAAATGAACGGTGTCCTAGTTCTTTTGCTCCAAAGGCATTATCCACACTGGGTTGTGTAATGAACAAGTGATATGCACTATGCCACTGAACCTCACCGAGATGGTTCACAACATACTGTTTTCATTCGTAAGTTCGCTAAGGTAATCAATTTGAATTCAGAATATCAATCACTATTGGAAATGATAAAGTATGAAGTCCAGATCGACGGAGTCACTGATTTCTACTTTATAAACGAGTGATTGAGTTAGTTCAATTTACACATGTGGGGCAAAAAAAAACCTGGAAGGAAAACGTCGAACAACTCCTGTACGAGTGAACCAACCAGGATTAAACAGCACACAAGCCTTGAGCGTTACAAATTCTGCATCATCAATGGCGAGGAATCTCATCGGCGCGACCATCTGATCCATTACCCGTTCACAATCCCGTAAATAAAATCCACTGTAATAAATTACAAAGTAATGACAACGTAATCGTCTAATTTTTTAAAAGTTAAATTAAATTTTAAGATTTTTCGATCCTTTTTAAAACCCTTTTTTTTATTCTCTCACGTTTCAAAACAAAACATGTAACAACAATGTACAACTTTACAACTGCCACACAATAATATGTTCTGCTAACAAAAACGACAGGTTCCCAAGCCGTAATTCCTTACATAAAGTATATAAATAAATTCATCGTATTCTTGTTGAGCAAACGTACGACGTATGTAAATAAAGTAGTAAAAGATTTTGTGTAAAGGAAAAAACGATGCATTTCAAAACAGCATAATTTCTGCGATTTTCAACCCTTCATAGTATTGTGAACAAGATTCAGTCCACCATCGAAAGCTCAGTTTCCGGACCGATGGATTATTGTGGTGTGCAAGAAATGCAGCATAATTTATTTTCCAGTACTTACTTAAACACTTCAAGGGCCACCTTCACGAATCATAAGGAATTGTATAAAACCAAGCATAACTTTCAAAGAGCGATAATTTGCTATTTGAATAAGATTTCCTCCTCAGACTTTCGAAAACCTCGCTGAGACTTTTCCAGGTTCTCACCACTCGCCACTTTGTCGCTGTTGTTGGGATGGCAATGATTTCTGGTACTGGCTTACCGACAGCTGAGCCTTCGGATAGAAACATCGTGCACCTCAACTTGGGAGACCATCATGTAGAAATGATCCACCGCTGCTTATCACGCTTCAATACCCTAGGAGACCCCATAGTCATGATAAGGTAGTGAACTGCTTGCTTTGATAATAGGTTAAAACCCAGTATTAAGACCACTACAGATATCCAACACATTTTCTTATACACAGTAAAATCTGTGAATGAAATAGAAACATATGGTCTTTCAATGCAGCTCTGAGAAAAGCTACTAATATAAAGATATAAATAAACAAACACAGTTAAAATCCTCCCTTGTAAGACGTAAAAGAAATTGTTGGACCTCACCCATGAAATATGAAACAACTGAGAATAAGCAATATTTGTAAAAAAACGACACATTAAAATTTCAAAGAATAACATGTGAAAACCTCGGTTGTTCATTTTTAGACGGACGAGGAATGAGGCTATTGTTGATGAGTCTCAAAAAATCCGAACCTTCCTTTGAACGATACGAAACAGAAAGCACTACATGTTGCGGAGCAAAGTTCTTCAATAAAGCAGTCTGTAAATAAAATTCTTTGAAAGGAACAGTAAAGCATTGGCAAAATCTCAAACCTTGCTTGGAAGCCCAGTGCAAAAGATATTATTTAAACATGCACACTCACATACATATACGCATATACAAATTCATACGTATATATATATATATATATATATATATATATATATATATATAGACAAATTCTCTCAAAGGCTTTCCGCTTCATTGTGGCTTGGAGGTGTTCCTGAGTGTCGGGATACGATGTACAGAGGAGGGATTCATTCAATCAACAGGGTCTCCCAAGCCAAGTAGTCCGGCGTTTCCCCTAGGTTCCCTTAAGAAGCCCAGCTAAAAGCAAACCAATCCTAGGACCTACTGCCGTTTTGGTATCAAACTAATGGCATAGTGGCAAATCTCGCTCCGGTCCATGCCGGGCTATGGTGGCGACGACCTAGAGCACAGTTTGGTTAGGCTTACTTTGGGACACCATGGAACCACAGTAGCTAAACCACAAAAACTCACAAAAACTGAAAATTATGCTGGAGCCCGTGCAGTTAGTGAAGGCAGGCCATCCAAGTGCCCAAGTAAGTATAAATATGTATGTGTACGTTCAAATTAATGTTGACAGCTGCTTGTTTAATGGTAACTCCAACGATATTGAAACGAAGCGAATTCCCTAAGTGGTAAGCCTAACGAAGAATAGTTTTAGATCTGGTAGCCGACTTTTTATTGGATATATACTCCCTGGGGCTAATAATAGCACTATTGAGTGCGCTTCCTAGGAGGAATTTTATCAGATAAGAACGACCGTAATAAACACCGATAACGATTTGTCAGTTTATACTGCGGAAAAGAAGAAAGGAAAAACAACAACTGAACTAGTAGCATTCATCACTTTCGTATATTGCCTCGCAGTTTATTCACGAGATTTCATAATTCATGAATTCAACTCGCCAGACGTACATACCAATCACCCACTAGTCCAACAGGTAATGGCACGACTTTTGACGTCTGTAAATTAATGGATCCATAATCGCAGCACTTCTTTCTGGAAGAAATGGATCAATAATCGGTCACGCCGTTGGTTTGAAACGAACGACCATGAACTCCGTTATCAACAAGTTTGCCGAAAGAAGTATGCTCCAGAAAAAAAAATAGCGCTGCATCAGTACAGCAGTCACAGAACGCTTCCTAGTGATGATGAGCCACGAGCACAGCCAAAACATTTGACTACTCTGCAAAGCAAGGAGTTTTCAATGAGAAACTCCTCTCTACGTTTCTTTTACAGCTGTTCTCCGCGTTTACTACAAAAGTAGTATTATGAACGCTGTCTTAAATTGCAGAACGGTCTACAACTGGCACGAAGTACATGAATTCCACGAAAGCAACGGTCATATGGTGCTCAACCTCTTACTTTGTTCTCTATTTCTATAAATAACTGAGAACATGTTCTCAAAATGGAAGGAATATGTGCGACATGCTGGATCGAGGAACGAGCTGTGGTGTCTATTGGACAGAACGAACTAAGGTGCAACTTTGCTGACCTGGGTGTAACTTCAGCGCATTCCTCAACTACGTGATCAACTTTAGCCCTCGCATTTTGAATCATCAAGTAATTGTTGACCGATAAAAGACCATACTGTTAATGCTACTAACTCACATAACAGTCTTCCGAGCTTTGCTGCAACATGACAAAATGATATGCACGGTTGATAAATTGAATACGGTGAAGGGTTAAGGGTTCGAGTTAGGAAATCTAATGAATAAGTAACGACTAAAATATAATGATATCAAATTATGGAAAAAATGTCTACACCATAAAAATATTGCTAAATGAATAACACTAATCTCTTAAAGTTCAGAGTTGACTTTATGAGTGTTACTCTCGCAAACCAACTTAATTTTAATCAAAATTAAAGAAAAATCAAACTGAAAAATAGTGAGAAAGATACCTGATCTGCTGCAGAAAGTGAGAGAAACGGTGCTAGAGTTTTTGCCCATTCCTTAACCAGTAGAAGTTGACTGTGTAATGATTTCAGGATATCATTTACCGTTGCCGTTCGCGTGCCAAAAGAAGATGACTGCTAGAAGAAATAATCAGAATCACATAAGAAAATCCGAAGAAAAACCAGTTTACTCAAGACAGTTTCAGTCACTGTAACTATTTTGTTCTCCATCTCCCACCCTTATTACTTCTCACTTTTTCTTTACTTCTCACTTGTCACTTATTATTTTTTAACATAGAAATCTACATGAAATGATTGAAATCGTTGCTTACAGGTTCTTCCGGCTCTACAGTATACTCGGCATTTCCAGTTTGCTTAATGACGGAATCGCGAAGATTGCTGATTGTTTTTTCAGATCGCAATAACGCGTCAATCAACGTGTCCGGGCAATCCCATGCATCCTCTGGAGAACCAGTGATCTCTGGCGTTGAGCGCATGGACGATCTGCACGCAGAAAAAATGACTTCGTAGAAAAAGTGTCTGTTAAGAAAAAAATACTCCCACTACACTTCGCTTTTAGTAGTGGCCGTTTAATGTTGACGATGTGAACGTACAACGTAGTGAACGTACATTCAACTTACATTGTAATATCTGGGAAACATAGAGATTAATGAGATGACGACAGTTTCTTCAGCATGGATATAAATCAGTACCTATAATATAGAACAATGGGTAGAGGTGCTCTGCATTGCACGCCAAATAGGCTGTTTCCGCGATCTGACGTTCCGTGTTCACAAAGCTCCCATTCCTCCAGTATCAACTAGTTAGTTAAAGCGTTGTCCGGGAGGATTGCAACACTGACTTGATACCTCGGTATCACCATGAGTCATTGTATAGGCCAAATATGCATTCGATCACCTCTAACGAGGTATGATGAAGTGGAATGTATGGCATACCCTCAGTTACTTCCTGCCTTAGCGCATGCGTCAGAAACCTGGTCCATGCGCAAGCAGGATAAAAGATCACTCAGCGTTATTTGTGCACCCAGTCGAAAGGACGATGCTAGGAGTATCTTGTTCCACATAAGTAAGGAATGGAATCCAAAGCTCCGATATGCGTCAACGATCAAAAGTCAAAGATGTCGTTCTGTACGCCAAACAGTCGAAGATAAGGTGGGCCGGACACGTAATGCGTATGAATGACAACCGAAGGACAAGAGCCTTTAGTGACTGGATTCCTCGGGATGTCAAACGTGCTGCAGGAAAACTACCGACAACTACCAATAGTCAGAGTTCTTCACGAAAACCATGGAAGAAATGTATGATGCTCAACATGTTCCTAAAGCGAGCAGTACCCACTGGGCTATTCTTGCACGTGACAGGGAAAAATGGAGGATTTACTTACGCCGACTTAGACCACTCGATGATTAACGGGACGACAGGTGACAGGTAATGTTGCCGTAAAAGAAAAAAAAAGCTGAAGCGGTATGTAGACAGTGCGTTGTTTCAAATCCAACTAATCTTTTACCAAATTCCGTAGAGACTCAATGTATGCTCGGACGTTTGCGGAATTCGGAAGTCACGAATGCAGGGAAGCCGGTCACAGCTATGCTCAACTGTTCACAAACTCAACCACTCACCCCTCATCAGCACTCTGATGTCTCCTTGCATGCGGTGATTTCGCTGTCATACTCGAGCTGGACGGTCGGACACGTTTCCCGATAACGTCACGTTCATTCTGGACTTGTTCAACTCTCATTCCAGCACGAATACATCGTGTATATCGGCAAGAACGGCAAACTGCACGGTTGTCTGGAATTTACAGCTGAACACTAGTGAATAATTATTCCTATTTTGCAACATACGGAAAAAAATCTACAAAAAAAACCTACATAAAAACAAAGAATAGAAGAAGGCTCATCTGAGAAGATTAATTTGAAAATTTTTTGGAGTGGACAACGAGAAAACTATGAAACTATGGATGCCTTGAACTATATTTCTTGCGCTTTTAGAAAATTTTAGTTTCCATAAAATGCACTCCTGTTCCGTATAAAGACCAAGCTTATTTGAAGCACGTATAAAAAAATATCCACTCCAGTAAATATAAGCATTTATTTCAGCTTTTCTTCTTATCACCAATGTCAACATGATAGATTTAGCAAAACAACTGTTGTTAATTCCACCACTCAGCAATGATACACCGCCGCAGTTGAATAACGACTTTTACACCGCGAATGTATCCACTTTCGTATCGGCGAATGAAAATCAGCACTGTAAATCGGAGAGAACGTATTTATGTCTACACTGTCATAGAAAACAAAAATAAGCAGTTCCTTCAAATAGGTTCCGAGATATTTATATAACCGGTCTTCAAATTTTGTTCAGCCTTAAGCACACTGCTGCATATAGCACACACTGCCGTCATTGTTATGTGGATGTTCTAAGATAGATGGATTAAAGCATTTCCAGATTTGTCACAAGTAATTTAAACCTTGTAGCCCGGGCAGATTTTCGCACAAGGAGGTTAAAATGTACCAGAAGCTGCCAAAAAAGGTCTGCCTCATCCTGGGATGAGTAGTATAACTTGGTCTTCGGCTTACTTTCAGTCTCCTCAGAAAGTGGAGTTCACTCATAGCATAGTCGGCCATTATAGAGAACACACAGACACTCAGCAAATGTAAAGAGGCTGAACTTGTACAGTGTTCACAGTGGCTAGAATTGTTTCTGTGCATCAAAAATGGTGCACAGCCGAATTCTCTGCCAACAGAACACTAACGCTCGAATTCAGCAAAAGTTCAACAAGTTCATTAAGCCGTCAAAATAACTACGAGCATTAGATTTATCTGCCCGCAAGAAAATGGCGCAGGATTATAAAGAGTAGGAAACTTGTTCTGAAATGAAAAGATGACAGTCGTTGCTCAAGAATTATGCTTGAAAAGTCCAATTTTCGAAGAATTTCGCCCACCCTGATCCACGTATCATAAAACCAAAAATTCCATGAGTTCACAATAAAAGGAATATTTTCTGTAGGAAAACCATCAGCAATATGGAAGCTCCGATGAATTGAACCAGTATCCTTTATAACATATATTTTTCAAATTGATTTCGTATGTGGTCATTTCTCATATCAATGACCACCGACGAATCCAATTACTATCCCTAACAAATACCAAGTAAACAATGTAGAAAATTTGAGAACAAACTATCAATACCCACCATTCTTTTAAAAGACCCGTCTATACATCCAATACGCAGATCCTAGTAATTCCAGTTTTCGGTTCATTTCCTCGTAACTCACCCATGAAGGACTCCTACCTTTTCGCGTATAGGAACAGCTGCTCCTTGAGCATTGCCGTCTTTTTCGTGGATGTCGATGAAGGTTGGTTGAGTTGATTTTTCCTGGAGTCCCAGCATAGCCAGAATAAAGAAAAGATATGCTGTTTAGGGACAAGTCTGGTACGAACTTCACTTTCCCAGAGGGATGAGGAGTATAGCGGGCTTAGTGAGGCGTCGAACCAGCACCCTGCTCATTAAAAACGGCATCGCTACTACTGCGCTACACGCCCACTAATTATCTATCTTCACGAGAGCCAAAAGTGTTCTAAACAAAAATCGACGAAAATTTGGAAGAACTAAAAAAATTGACTAGTACTTTTGCAGTGGCCAATTAGTGCTAAATTTTAAAGATGCCATTGGAATTGTATACAGAAGACTGCTCACAGATGAACGATTTTCCCAATGCAGTTGTAGATATACAAATACAAAAAAACCACTCCTCCCTTTACTTTTTGAAAATTACTGCATTTCATTTTAACTGGAAAGGAATGATACGAAATTCAGTTAAGAAAGTTTTTCAGCGATCCCCAACCCAATCCTACTACGTGACCTTTTCGTTGTATGAAAAAATCAATACCCACACTTTCCAAAGAAGGCCTTTGTAGAGAACAGCGGTTAAAAGTAAGCGAAAGTTTTTCAAGAGAATAATACCAATAAGATAGATATTGGTATCATCTATAAATTCCAAAGCAGTATTTGTACTCAAATTTGGAAGAGAAAAGTAAAATTAAAACTGTTGACGTCGACCTAGATAAATTAAACTTTAGAAAGCAAGAGAAGTGCAGTACAGTGGATAGCAGTGTCCTGTAATACACAGGGTCAATGGTTCAATCACGCACCCGAGGGCCACCTAGTTCTCTATCCCCCCAAGGCCGGCGAATTGGCAGCACACCTGCCTCAGAGGATAAAAAACACTGCGAAATTCCAGTGGCATCTATCACAGTCAGAAATCTATCACAGTCTAACTTTTATCTCATTATCTCGATCGATTTCTATGTTAGAGCGAGAAAGTTGGCAGCATAAAAGTGAAGAAAACTAACAAAAATTCAATTCATTGGAGGGAATGGCAGAACGACAAGCGGAAATTCAAACAACTAAAACACTAATTGATAAATAAAAAAGATAATATATTTAAAATAAAGAGACCCACTAAAATAAACTAACAGAGCATAAATATTAAACTTAAGGAAACTTACACTTGTCGATTAAACACTCCGACCTAAACCTGCACGTATACTTGTATCCTCGGCGAACGGTCCGACGAAAAAAACCTGAAAGAATACAGGAAAACAAAATACTGTCCAGTACTGTCACAATAAAAAATAATGTTGTGATTCTTCCTTTTTATTTTCTTAAAAATCCTTTAGAAAAAAGTCCCAAACGAGATCATTATTTTTCTTTTCATCAAAGCACTCTTTATTTACGAAATTCCTTTCGAAGTTTGTTGGAACGATTTCCCTCTTCACAAAAACAAATCTTTGCCTTGAGGAAAAAAAATTCATGTATCGTATGTGAAAAGCTCTCCATACTCAGCACTAATCTTGTCATTTCACAAAACTATAACGTCACTGGTGTAGAATGCTAAATTTCCCTTCATTGGAACAAAAGCTAAATTCAGCAGCAGCAATCTTATCCCACCTTTTACTCTTTCCCTAAAACATTTCATAGATTTATATTCGATAGAACATTCAATAGTTGTGTAGCACTGTGTAGTAGTACTTATGGTGTAGTGGACAAGATGATAACACTGAACATTTTAGAAGGAGAAGGGGTACATCAAAACCTAGTAACTATGGGCAAGCAAAACTCACCAGATTTCTTTAAGCTACATCTACTTGTTTCTAAGATCTTTTCGTGCCTGCTACAATTTACTGTTTTCTCGGTAAACAGACACGAGGTTGTTAACAACAGGATTTATTACCACAACACTGTCTGACGTTTCGACAATTTCGTCTACTTCAAAGCCTGGGAAGGCTAAATTGACACGCAATATACTCAGTAAAACACATTCGTTCCTGCGATGTTTCTTATAATTAGGCGTGATCTCCTGCCATACCTTACGTCCCATATTAACCATACCTTCCTTCCTTCCGAGGACGGCAAATTGGTACCAGACTTGTATGGGAGGTTAGCAGCATTGGCTCGACACATCAGTAGGCCTCCGCAACTCATTGGAAAGGCCAGATATGCATTCATTCACTTCCAAACGGTGCTTAATGAAGTCGAATGCATAGCGCATCCCTCAGCGATTGAACAACGTCGAGAGCTTCCCTTTTTACGGTAGTACTATGGAAGTTTGTAGGTGTGCACATCAACAACATAATTCATTTTACATGGTTTTCACAGTAAATACTTAACATTCAGTGGTAGAAATAGTATGAAACGTACCTTTACAACCATTACAAGCTATCGCCCCGTAGTGTCGTCCTGTTGCTACATCTCCACACACAATACATGCTAGTGATTCCTTTTCTCCAACTGATGTGCTCACTAAAAAATTGCCACTTAAGTTCCAAAAACCAGAAAAAGGTAAAAGAACAAATACAATCCATGTACGACACATTATCAGTTCTCCTCACTCTTTACCATTTGTAATTCCTCGGGGAAATATATGCAAGCAGTTATGAACTCGATTGCTTCCAAACAGAGGACAATTAACAACCGCCAAAACCAAATGATTCGTGGTCTACGATAACAGCTGGCAATTGCTAATATGTGAGGCAAGTGCAACGCAATGGTTAGAGGTGTCTTACAAAGCACACGCTATTGATCTGTGGTTCGATATTACACCTCGAGTCAACCTTATCCCTTGGCAAATTGATTCCATAGATGTTTGGAAGAATAAAACTACTGATTTGTTACACCGGTAGAGCCCAGCAATCCATTGTATTTTGTACAAATATGCATTTATTCACCTCTACGGTGCTAAGAATAAAGTCGATTCAGGAACGCATCGAAGTCAAGCACTTCTCTTACAGTGCATTCCTTTACACTTTAAATATCAGTATGATATAACAGCCGCTGATAACTGCAATCATTGTTTTTTGTTGTGCATAACTAACAAAAGAGCGGGACATGAAGCGCAGTGTAACAACGCGCCACCCGTGAGCAATTGGTCATCGGCTTAGTTCTTGACTTCCTTCATCCAATAGATTCATCCTCCTTAGATCACTTAATTCTTGATGGACCTTTGTATAAACGATAATATTGCGCTAGAACATCAATCCACTGACACAATGCTTTCTGAGGTATTGATAGTCTAGCCATCAGCCGAACGTTTTCGTGGAGTTCATCGAGAAGACGTTGTATTTAAGGTCATTTCAGTTGCAGCTTATTATATTAAATGGTGTTGTGTTAGAAATAGACACCACTGCGATGACCAGCTACGGTTATTCGTTATCAGCAGCTGAAAACATGAGCAAAAATAGCATCTTCACTAGTATGTAATCTGCTGGAACAGTTAGCCTAACACGTATCAAAATAGAATCCACATCAAAATTGAAAGAAAACCGACTGAAATTCATGTACTTCTACGACAGATTTCTTCCTAAAAAGACCACCCTGAGTATAAACCTAGTGATAATTTAAATCAAAGGCGTTAAATAGTATGGTGAAGTATGGGCATGTCCACTCACAACAGTGAGAGACAGATTTAATAGCTATTACATCAGCGTTAAGAAAAAACATTTAAATAAGAATTCGTTCACCCTAAATTCTGGTAAATCTTTTGAATCGTGTTCGTATCTACGTGGACAATTACTCACATGCCGGTGAATCTGTCGTCTCAATATCTCCATCTGCCTTGCAGATCATTCCGAAATGGAGGTTCTCGTCAAGAATTTATTGATAAAATCAATTTAAACACGACCTATACGTATATCAGCAATATCGTCCAAATCCTGGAATGAGACAGAATGAGTAAAATAACAATGAATGAGGAAGATGTCACGATATAAGAAACCAGTGATGTACTCACGAAAAGTACGGCAATAGTACAGTACATAATCGGAAGTGAAAATTTCTCTATAATATCGCTAATGATCAACACAGTGCGTATCTTATCATTACAGAAAACCAAAGGGATAACGAAAACTGAAAATAGAGAATTTCTTGCGCACAGATGAAATCACTCTGTTCAATGAGTAATCGATGTCTATTATAATAATTGAACATATGGACACTCTGAATAAATCAAAGACTAAGAATCGAAGAGAGGAAAAATCTAGCGCATTACAGAGAATGATCGTACGGTGATTTTTGTACATCGATATCGTATCAGCTGCGCTAGACGGCTAACATCAACTGCACTGATAAGATCGATTCCTCTCCTACAGTAATACTGAAGGATGCGAAATCCACCTGCACATAGCACTCTATTCGACTTGTCAAGAACACTCTTCATGTTCAAAATTCGAAACTATAACAGAATGCGCACGCTGTTTTTATTGATGAGAATAAAGATAAAATAAAAGAGAAAGCTTTCCGAGTTGATCAATCCCTGAGGAATGTGTCATGCATTCAACTTCATTAAGTATCGTTTGGAGGTGACTGAATGTATATCTGGCCTTTACAATACTCGCAGTGGCCTACCGATGTATCGAGCCAGTGCTGCTATCCTCCCAGACAAGTCTGGTACCAATTTGCCGACCCTGGAGGGATGAAAGGCTGGATGCGCCAGGGACGCGAGGACCACCCCATGTGTGTGCTGCACGGCGCCTCCGACCACTACGCCATATGCCCTTCAATGAGAAATATGGTAAGGAATGTTGCAGAAAACATGAAATAGAGATAGATGTCGAATGTTTAAAAATCTAAGGAATACCGAGGATACCATAATGAAAAAAAATCATTGGAGATTAATGAGGAGGAAAATCTGCACGGAAAATGCGACGAGTTAAGAAAAAACCAGTATAACTGCATAGTTAAGTATATCACCCAGATCGAAACAGAAGAAAAACGAATACCGTAATTGCATGTAACAACGACACATGGACGACTGAATTAACTGGAATAATCAAAGCATCCTAGAATCTACAAGGACATCAATATCAATGAAAATAACAAAGTTGTAAGAAGCTTAGTTTCGAAATAGTTTAATCACACATTTCCCCTTAGGACTCGTCGAGTACTTCGTATCTATTCGTTAACTTTGCAACTATCCTAATTTTTGAGATAAAAATCATCCAACCAATCACTTGAATTTTTGTAAGTGGACGATCTGATTTATCATTAAACATCTTTCAGCAATGAAAGACTAGTTTGTTAAGGAATTTCACGCTTAGTCCTGAGAACAGTTCGAATTAAAAAGACAGGAGTCAACACCTATGGGGAAAATTGAAGTTTTGAATGCAAGCGATATCAGTGAACAAACATTTGTTTCTGTGCGTTATTCATATTCAACACAAACAAATTACGAATATAACGAAGCAACCACTACACTACACTACACGGTCCCCCCAACGGTTTACCGTCTCATCGTGGCTGGAAAGTGTTTCTAGGTGTTCGGCTGCAACGTACAGAGGGGTGTTCAGTGGCTAAACCAGCAAAACTTTGAAAAAATGGAAATTATGTTGGAGCTTGCACAACCAGTGAACACGAGCCATCCATGTTTCCAAGTAACAAAATAACCGAGTTACATTATTAAACGATACTAACCAATAAATAACAAAGCAGAGACCGGTGGGTGCCAAAATGGGCTATCAACCATTAGACGATAATCAATTGAATACTACAGAACAGAAGGAACAGAAGAAAAACATGGATAATTGGTTGTTTAGTGAGGAAAAAATCGTCAAAACAGTAAACAACAATAACCGGAACAATAACACATATACACATACACATATATACATAATACACATACACATATTCGTACACATACACCCATATACATACACATAACAGAAACTTAGTAATGATACAAACCCGACTACCCGTCGCCTATTTACACTGGAGCGGCCTGGCCTGTTAGGCCAGCGAACGCTTGATATGGATCTCAGATCATAGATCATTGACGACCTCACAACAGAAGCGTCGACTGATACAGAAATTTTGCTAGAATCAACTCACATGCTTACAGTATCCCTGCTATACATATGTAGTACTCAGAATCGTCAGCAATTGATACAGAAATTTCGCCAAAATCAACCCATATGCTTACAGTAACCCTACAATACTACTCAATTGACCACTGCTTGAAGATTAAACTTCTCTGAAATGACTTAGATGAACAGCATGTCAGCAGTTCATCGAACAAAATCATGCTTCTCCGTTTATTTCATAGAAAATGAAACAACACACGGAATTTCACTAGCCCTAATAGCTTTGATAGGTAAAAGCGAACGCACTCCGAATCTCTTCGAAACTTTGGTAGATAACCAGATAGAAAACTGCAAGACTTGTTTAGTTCCACACTTTCCGTCCGTTATTAGATAATCAGTGCATATTTTTCATTTTTTCATTTTGCTGAATACAAATTAACCAGAAACGACTGGCGTCATTTCGATTCGAAACCGTGTAGACCGAGTAAAAAGAAAAGAAAATGACAAGCATGACAATTAACTTGTGAGGAAGTACCTCTGGGGTACGACCATAACGATGCTAAGTTATTCACAAAACTCCGGACCGCAGGTGTATGCCGAGAAGAACTAAGCGCTATTACTCTTTCCGGGGCTAATGCATTCACCACAACACCATGCGGGTCCTTCGTTTCGTCTCTCAGCTAGTTTTCTATCTACCACTGCTATCAGCAATCATCCGTCAACGGGATTGATCTGTTGAGCACTAATTGGCATTGAACCCAGTTTAGGCGAGGTTGTAGTTGAAATCACAATAGTAAGCTTTGTTTAAAAAAAAGTAAAACTAAAGCAAATAAAAAGCTTACATTATCTCCGAAATATTTAAGTGGATCACTCTTTTAACCAATTATATTCATACGATCGTACATCACCATATAACTAGTACCAAAGTCACATTACACGGTTCAACGAAAACGCTACTCACAAGAACTTCTTAAAAACTCATAAGTGACATAAATTAGTAGGTTAAAAGTTTCAAAATACAAAACTCATTTATTTTGCGTCGTCTGTATTATCATAGAACTATTTATTGAGACATTCTTATCGTCACCCACTTTCACGTAAGAGTACTTGCAGTGCACACATCAACATATCTATAGGGATATGTACACGTGGGCATGGTTTATATACATGCATATACACATTTGCATATGTGTATATATGTGCACATATACAAAAACCCAGGTGTACGTAGACATATGTATAAATGCATATGTATAAATATGCTTGCATATACGCACACATACACTTGCTTTTAAATATACAAATCTAAATATTTTTTAATAGAGGTATAAAGTTAATAACATTTATGCATATATATGTATATGTACATATACATATAAGCATATGCATTACGCAAATACATACATATATATGTTTATATGTATACACGTATATATGTATTTGTGTATATGCGTAAAACAAACTCGATATCTTCGATAACAAGCTTGATATATCGCTTTACAACATGCATACACATAGGTGGTCTTCGCTCTTCAACACATAAGGGTGATCTTGGCGTCACTCAACGACCTTACCACCACTAGTTGCAAAACAAAGGTCACAGTTTTTAACAATAGTGGAAACGGTGCTAAAAATGTTTAACGACAATTGGTAAACATATGATATGAACACTATAAGTGATTCCCCGTTTTCAGTATCACAGAATGATTCGCTTATGAAGAACATTCATTAAAAACTGAATTTATAGAGGTACAGATCTATGAAAGGATAAAAGGACAGAGCTCCCGGCGTTGATCAACCCTGAAGGATTCGCCATGTATTCGACTTTATTGAGCATCGTTGGAGATGAATGAATTCATATCTAGGCTTTACAATTGCGCGCGGTGGCCTACCGTGTAACGAGCCAATGCTGCCATCCTCCCAGACAAGTCTGGTACCAATTTGCCGACCCCCGAAGGCTGGAAGGCTTGGTGAGCATGGAGCGCGGGGATCGGCTCCAAATGTATTGCAGGGCGCTTCCGACCACTGCGCTACGCGCATCCTACTGATTTATAAACACACAAATACAAGACATAGACACATATTTGCATATGTACGTATGTATATATGTACATATATGTATATGTATATATACATATATATATATATATATATATATATATGCGTTTACACACACGTTTAGACAACAACATCATAAGTGGCACCGTAGTGACACGAATGATAGCAGAGAATGTCATTATAAATAACTCCGCTATAACACGCAAAGCGTAGCGGATGCTTAGAGAAGGTCCAGTTGGTCCAGCACGTTCAAGAATCAAACGAGAGGAGGAAACTGCAAGTGGTTGGAACCGTAAGTTACTTGCTATACTTCACATTCGTGTTGCCCGCTTAGAGCACGATACAGAGAAAATGACACAAAAACGAATGAAACAACACAACCACTGCGATCAAGTAAAGGATCTTGTGGCCGAAATTAACTGGTATACTTGTAAAACAAGCTCAATTGAAGACGATGACGTTAGAGAAACTGTAGATGCCGGTTGGCTGTCACCGACGGCAATCCGCGTTCTCAACCGGACCACCAGAAAGCATCTGAAAGCCACGCCCCCTCTCACTTTCAACCAGCCAGCCACATTTCAACGAATTCGACTCGCTTCTAGCAATGGTATATTTCTGATGAAATCCACAGTTCCGATGTTAGAAAACAAATCAGATTTGATGACTGACTTCAAAGCATTTCCCAACTACACGTAAACTCCTTTATTGGTACACTTAAGTGCTGTGCAACTAGTAAAACCTCTAGTGTTCAGAATCATTAATAAGCATCAAATTGATCGATAAAAAATCACAACATTAAACAGCACAAATGATCAGATACGAACGTCTATAACAAATTACATAATCTCCACGATTCTCTCCAATCATATGATTGCATAAATTTTCCTCGACATTCAAACGACCGCAATTCGCGCTCTGAACGCGCTGTATTGATTGCTAAGGAGCGCGCATTCGCGACCGAGCGGTAATTCCTTCTAAAGGCGTTCATACGGTAATGCCATTGGATATTTTTCACGATATTTAGGTATTGACATCACAATCGGGACAGTGCCCCTAGATGCCGTAATATGTCCTAAGGTAACAGCTTTCTGCTCTACGATCCAACTCGAGTCATAATTCAATGTGCCTTATTGTCATCATATAATCTTGTCAATGTATGATTATATTTTACCACCACTTTTTTTTCGCATTGTGAAAATTGATTCTGGTCACATAAGAATAGCTTAAGAATATTTCTTAAGTTCACTTGTATCGATGTGGTTGCTGCGGTTTCTGTTTTCAACTTCCATTATTCCAGGTATGTGAAGCCCTCTGGCTTGTCCGCTTTTTATTTAATTTCGAATTAAAATATGAGAATATGTAGGTGTCAACTCTGAAATCACTAGACTTTATGAAGATGTCGAATCGGAAGTCAACATAACTGGGGAGGACTATATTTTCAGTGAAGAAGAAATGAAACATCATTCGGTACTTTTCTGCCGTAGCAGTTGTAATTTTAACAAATATTGATTTCATTTTATTAGTAACTTTTTACTCACAGGAGGTGGAACAGACTCTCCAACATTACTGGCAGTGCCGTGGTCGTGAATGGTCATGTGACAAACACTGTCGCCTAGAATTTCGATCGGAAACTAAACTTTGTATGTTTGTTTTCGCAATGGGAGATAATGATTAGAGGAATGCTAACGTGCCATCGTCATTCTATCTATCCCCCACCAAATACCAAAGCACACAGAAGACTGTGTGCATTTATTTCAATGCATACGGTGCGAAAATCGTGGCCGATTTCAATTTTAATTTAAATTAATTTTAATTGAAATTTCTTTTTAATCTCAGCTCAACGTTGACTTTAGTAATTTAAATAAAGATGATCATAATCCGCAGATTCTTGCCTAATTAGTGCTGGCTGTCTTATCATACAGAGATGAAAATGTAGTGCTCAAGAAGCGCGTGAAGGAATTTTTTTCTTTCTCGCTTTTCTAATTTACGTCTCTCATTTCCAATTTCTCAAACCTGGCCTCCTAAGCTGAGAAGGAGTCCGGCGTTTCGCTCACGCTGCTCAACTAAGAGTAAACAAATGCCAGGATTAACCACCGTCATGGTATCAAACTAGTCGCATGGTGGCAAGTCTCCCTCCGATTCACAACGACGGTAACTGCCTGTGCTGGTGATAATCTGGAGGCAGATTTTGGCTAGGCTGACCTCGGGGCTTCAATGAACCACAATGGTTAAACTAGAGGAGCTCCGAAACAGTGGAAATTATGCTGGGGCTCGCACAGCCAGTGAAGACGGGCCATCCAAGTACACAAGTATTTCTGTCATACTGGACCAAAAAAGCGGGATTTCATATAGCAGAGCGTGATGATGTTATCCAGTGTGTTATTGTTATTTGTAGTTGCTGCTTATGCGTTGGAGCTTTTAAAAATCCACATTTTGTTCCCGTTTTTTTGTAATTTTTTTTCTAGATATATTTTAAAATCAGCGAATAATTTATAGAACTGCTCATATACTCTAGGTAATATGCAAAGCATAACCTCAAGATATTGGTGCGAAGCCTTTTCTGTAATTTTTTCGAGTTTTAAGCTCCTCAGCTGCTTTAATCGTTGAAGAAGTGTTAGTAGTTATTAGAAAACCACCACTGTCAGTTATGTGTTGAAAAGCTGTGGAATTTCTGGTTAATATTTTTATTATGAGACAGCAGGGAAGCCAAAGCGATAGAACAAAGCAAAAATGCTATTAGATGTAGTTATTAAGATGTTACCTAAAAAATGGTAGAGGTATTTCACGAACGTAAATGTGAACTGTAATAATAAGTGACACTGAGCACAACATAGGTCGTGCTCCTCTTCCTGGTGATAACTGTTTCGGGATTCCGATAACTTATAAGTACTCGCGTGATTTCGAGTTAATCAGGTTTCCACAGGAGCTTGCAGTACTTAGCCGTTATCCGAGGTGAGCACGCTATTGTGTTCCGTGGGAGCCTTATTTATGATACGAATTTAAGATGCTGGTCATATCTTTCGCCTCTAATTTGCACAACGTTGTATCGCCCATGTTCTCGGCATTTCTTTATTGAAAAAGATGAACGGAATAACGTTAAGGTAAGCTGTGTTTAAGTTCTCGTTCTTTTAAGCTCTCGTAAATTTATTCAAGGTAATAATGACAGTCGGTCTCAGTAACGGCAGCGCTGTCTTTGTATGACCTCTTTGAAAACTTAGTAGGCAAGATTTACATCTGAATCGGAAGGTGATTATTTTATAAAGCTTGTCTGTAAGAAGGTGAATTTTGCTCTTGTATGTCTCCAGAGCACGTATTATGTGTATTCCAGCACTTCTTTCATTCAATTTGTTCCCTCCATTCCATTATCCACGAAATTCTTTGTTTGCTTATGGGTAGTGGTTGCAGCTTGAGGACTTTGCTCCTTATGAGTCTTGCAGTGTACCGGTCGAATCTATTCTCACTGGAATCCTGGATTAGCCGTGATAAGGGCGTTGCCAGTTTTAGTATATGTTCAGAAATAAAGTAATTGTCCTCTATTGCGAAAACAAACATGCGAAGTTCATCCCATTATCCAGGTGATAGCATAGTAGTAGTGGTGCCGATCATCATGAGCACAGTGCTGGTTCGACCCCACTTCGGGCCAACCCAGCTCCTCAGTCCGCTGGGGTCGGCAAAAACCGAACTTGTCAAGGGAAAAATCACTCTTTGCAATACAATTTCGAACGCTCTAACCGGCTACTTCAGGAATCCAGTGAGAATCGACTCGACCTACATTCTTCGAAATTCAAGATGAAATGAAAACCCTCAAGCAGCAACCAAAGCTTCATATAAAGGTTGGAAGGCCTTCGAGGATGATGGAGGCGAGGAAACGAATCGAAAGTGAGAAGTGCCGGGATCCGCAAAGAAAATGTGAAGACTGATCGTATAAAAATAAAAACGCGTTCCGAGTTCTTCAACACAGGCATACACCTACGTTTTTGGATCGAAGGTAGCTTTTCGGATAAGTCTGGTACAAAGTTTCGGGTTCTGGTGGTATGGCGCGCTTAGATGTCTAGGATGGGGTTGAACCATGGCGGCTTTGCCCTCATTGAACAGCGTCTGCAATATTGCACTACCAACCACCAATCTGTCAGAGTAAAATACTAAGTGTGTATTGCGAAAAAGTCATTATTTATGAGTGCAAGCGTGTTCGCTGTTTTTCTTGCTGGAGCAAACACGAGGTTGGTATTACAGCATCTATTAGTAATACGGAATAGCTGATGGTCCGGTGGATTTGCGTTCTTCAGAGCTTGGAGAGGCCAAATTGACATGTCTATTCAGCAAAACACTTCCATTACCTTATCAGGCAAAACTGAACACATAAATTTCTGTTCGAACATTAAATGGGTTCTTTTAAGCACACATCATTTTGTTCTTTGAAAGTCCTCCAGTTAACAGGTAGAGACCAGGCGCACAGAGTCTTACTTGGACGAGGAATGCGCTTGGATAACGTCAAGGTGGCCTGAGGTATGGTGCTAGGTTAAGCGTGATAAAAAGGCACTCCTCCTCACAGTTAGTTTGTGGTTTCTTTTTTGAATTTGTCCAAAACGCTTCAAGAATTATGCGCACTGATGTTTTGGATTCCTGCGCGAGGATAGTGACTTTTACTTCAAAATCCTTTCCCGTTATGTTTTTGTGTCCTATGCGTCCCTAATGGAGTACTTCGTTCAATTTAAATCTCCCGATTAGGTGTGATTTTATACCAATGCAGAGACAGAAACGTAACAGGGAGGATTTCAAAATGAAAGAAACCATCCTCGCACAGGAATCCAAACATCAGCGCGGAGAACTCTGTTCTTTGTGATCACGCGTGACCTAGGACCATACCTCAGGCTGATTCCCTGACCTTGCCCAGGCGCATTCCTCGCCCAAGACTATGTGCGCCTTGTCTCTACCAATTAACTGGAGGACTTAAAACTAATAGAACAGTGGGTATTTAGAGGAACCTGTTTATTATACTAATAGAAATTTATGTGTTAAGTATTGTATGCTTAGGTTAAGAAAGGGTCTGGCTTAGTATATTACATATCAATTTGGCCCCTCCAGGCTAGGACCATACCTCAGGCTGATTCCCTGACCTTGCCCAGGCGCATTCCTCGCCCAAGACTATGTGCGCCTTGTCTCTACCAATTAACTGGAGGACTTAAAACTAATAGAACAGTGGGTATTTAGAGGAACCTGTTTATTATACTAATAGAAATTTATGTGTTAAGTATTGTATGCTTAGGTTAAGAAAGGGTCTGGCTTAGTATATTACATATCAATTTGGCCCCTCCAGGCTCTAAAGAAGGCTACTTGTCGAAACGTCAACACTTATGTGTTACTAATTGGTGGTGTAATACACACATCGTACTTGCTCATCAAGGAAAACAGCAAATTATTGTCCAGTGCCGAGATTAAAAGAAAGTCGGTTTTGGATTTTGCTAAGCATGTTCGTCCTCCTATGTGAAAGTTTTTCAGAATGGTACTATTGAACTGTGGCAGCTGTTGAGTCGCTCACTATGCGAAACGGCTCATAAAATGTGTGCTGATGTGGTATCGAGTGGCCTCTTTCCATCTATGATCAACTGTGGGGAGAAGGAAGGCGACTCACGGCATTCTAGACCAAAACGCGTCTTATATTCAACTTCCTGTCAGGTAAGCTAAATCTCTTGCTCTGTAATTATTTCTTTTGTGATTTTCTCGCTTTAAAACTTGATGATTGGTTCTATTTAGCATACATCCCATCAAATTCCGATATCGGTACGTACTAGAACTTGTTCCTGGCCTTTAGTTTCCGTTCCGAAATCGATAGCTGTGGAAAATTCCCCAGTGCTCGACGAGTGTTTTCTTCCTTGCAGGTCATAATATTAAAGGGTTGTTTTCTCGTGCTAATTTCGTTTTTTTTTTTGAAAGTTTACAGAAGGCAATCTCTAAAAAAGGATAACAAAGCATTTGCTTGGATTGGAACTTTATTCATCAAATGATATCTTTGTCACATAGCTCTTTCTAAGTGTTGTTCCCATCTGGACTGAATTTCGAGATTAGAGCCTTTGTAGTAACTGCTTTCCGCCAAAAGAAGAAATTGTCGTGTACAGCTAAATATTTTTAGATCTCCACTCATTTCAACATATCTCTCGAGTCGTTTTCGAGTCGTTCGATTCCTAATCTGCTCAATCTTAGCAGTGGTTTTCTTCCTGGAATCGGTAAGTGGGGGTTGTTTCTTTATCAAAGCGGTACCGCCTCCTTATCGCTCAATCTTTTCAGATTTATTTATCTCGATTTTCGAAGAATTTTTCTGAAAGCTCATTGGTATTTTGTGTGTCTCATGCCATGATCTCTAGCGCCGTATACTTTTTCGTATGGAGTTTGTCTGTGTTCGAGTACGTCTTCACACTGGCCGATTGTGCTGTAGACGGTGTCTCTCGAAGATATGCAATTTCTCACAGTGCTTTCGAATGGTTTGTGCTATATCTTTCGTTTTATTTCTATGTTTTTGTATGAAATTTTCTTACAAATGTAAAGAAGTGGTTAGTAAAGTGAAAACTGGTTTGGTTTAGAATAGCTGATCATGATTTCTTATGCCTCCAGGCGGTTTACCGCCTCATCGTGGCTGGGTGGTGTTCCTGGGTTTCGAGCAAGGATATACAGCGGAGTGATTTATCTCCAAGAAGGTTTTCCCAAGCTGAGAACGAATCCGGCATTTTCACCAGGAAGCCCAGCTAAGATTAAGTCAACATAAGGATCCGCCACCGTCTTGGTACCAGACTTATCGCATGGTGGCAAACTTCCATCTGTTCCACAAGTGCGGTGTCTGCGTGTGTTGGTGACGACTTGGGGCAGACTTTAGCTATGCTGACCTCGGGACTCTAGAGAACCATAAAGGGCAATGTTATACCTTTTTGTTTTCTGCCTACTATAATTTCGCGGCAAGGTACTAAGAGAAATGCAGCCACAACGTTGCTGAGATATTTGCAAAACTCTGGACCACAGGTGTCTATGGTAGAGAACGAACGCGCTATTGTCCTTTCCGGGGAGTAAAGCGTTCACCACCACACCATGCGGGTCCTTCGTTTCGCCTGTCTCTCAGCTATTTCTATCGATCTTTGGCTAAACCAGCAAAGCTCCGAAAAAAATGGAGATTACGCTGGAGCCCGTTCAACCAGTGATGGCGGGCCATCCAGGCATCCAGGTAAGTGAGGAAGATTTTTTATGACAGAATCACCAACGATTGTTTCTATCTATTTTAAGACTTCAACTTTTAGAAATTCTAGCTAAAAGAAGGAAGGAGCTATAATTTACTTGTGAAAATCTTTTACATTTAGGTGTTCCTTGCAGTCTTCCGTTCTTTATGCTGCATTTCTGTCAGCATTTCTTTGGTTATTTGTTCTTTATGTTATAACTGTTTGTCCTTCTTATTTTTTGCGTCATTTTTTTCTGCCAAGGTATAGTTTATTGATTATTCCGGTAATTATAGTTTGTACTCATACTAACTGCCTACTAGATCTACTAATGTGTACTGCCGTCCGCTACTACTTTTACTTGTGTACGGATTTTCTGCCTTCTTCTCGGCGGTAATAATGAATAACTTGGTTAGTTTACTTTACTTATTAAATTGTATAGTATTTTTCTGGAGTATTTGCTTTTTATCTTAGCGTGAAAATGATGGCGTGTCTGGTATATGTTATAACGGATTAACAACCTGGTGGAAGTATTCGATTTCACTATCACCGCTTTTGTTCTTATTCTTGTTAGTTGTTGCATATGGAACCATTGTTCTTTTCAAGCAAGATAGTAAGCATCACTTATTCTTTCCGTTACTATTATTTTTCTATTACAACTAGTATTATTACCAATATTTTTCCGCAGTCATATTGTCATGTGGGACCGGTGATTTTTGCTATAAAGTTTTGTTTTATGTCTTCCACTAATTACTTGGATATCTGAATTTGAATGCCCTATCCTCACTGGTTGTACGAGCCCCAGAATAATCTCTGTTTTTCGGAGTTTTGCTGGTTTAGCCATTGTGGCTCCCTGAAGTCCCGAGGTCAGCCTGGCGAAAGTCTGTCCCAGGTTATCACCACAACAGGCAGTCGCAGACCTTGTGGACCAGAGGGAGATTTGCCACCATACCTATAGTCTGGTACCAGGACGGTAGTGGATCCTTGTATTGGCTTAATGTTAGCTGAGCTTCCTAATGGAAATGTTGGAGTCCATCTCAGTTTGCGATATCCTGCCGGGGAGACGAATTCTCCCGTTGTACATTGCAGCCCGACTTCCAGGCACACCTAGCCACGATAAAGCGATAAACTGTAGGGAAGTTTTAGCTTTTAATTTTAGTCAATTATCGTTTTATATTAAAAGAACTGTGTTTAAATGTATTGAGAGTGATGTCCTATATGGAAGACATATGGATGTTATTTCTAGATTTATTAAAAACATTGGCTAAGAAGCAAGCTGTATGCGTTTTTAATAAGGCTGAACACGAGGAATATCAAAAGAGACATACTAAATTTAAGGTTGGCTCCATATTGTAATAGTTTTTATGTGGGTCTTCCTTGTTTCTGTATTTGATTCGTCTTTTTTATATTTAGGATTGTAAGACCATGGAGGCGCAGGAATTCCTAAAGTGCAGTGAGCAGTCGAACGCTAATGAAAAGGATACTAACCTTGCTGACTTGAGCTGTCAGGATAAATCCTCTGTATCAGAGCAGATCAATTCGAATTGGAAAGAAGCTTATAATGATTTCTTATCTAAAGGTGAGGTTCATCTAATCATTTTGCAGCGTAGTTCTCATGTTTGTATTCACTTTGTTTTCCAGAGAGCCTACACCGGATTTTCGACAATGAGGTTGATAAATGTTATCGTTCGCTCACCAAGCGTATCATTTACGATAGAAATTTTGGATTATCAAGCATCTGGACAGGTATTAATCAATAGTAAATACTAGAATACTCGGACAATCAGTCTTTATAGAGAGTCGTACGCGATATCTAGCGTAGTTTACATTTTCCAGCAATTTTTATAGTTGAGACAATTTTTGTCTTTAAACTCCTGAGACAGCTAGTCCTAACAGGGTGTTCCTACGTCGTCATCACGGGTAACCTTCGATTCTTGTGATTAGAAGGGCGGTTTGCCATCTTCGGAAATGTTTTTTGTGGAGGATTTTAATTGTTGACCTAGACTTTCGTTTCGATGTGCTCCCACATAGACTTTTTCCCTAAAAAAAGTACTGCTGTAGATCGTTGTGCGATAATTACCTAATGCGGCGAATGCTTTCTTTTTGAACCACAACCACAGTTTACACGATGGACCGGAGTTTTTCTCCGATAGTTTAGGTTTACATGGACTGGTTGTTATTATCAGTATTGCCATTTATGTTGTTATTGTTTTTATTTTCGTTGTTAATTACTTTTCAGAGCTATTTATATGAACTTCAAAACTTTTCAATTGTTTCTTCTAGTGACGTCATTTGTATTTGTTTCGTTGTTCCTCGCCATCTCGCCTGTTATCCACTATCTTTATATCAACACGTCTTCAAATCGGGAAGTTGAAAGTATAGTAGAGTACATAAAGTAGGTCTCATTGAATTTTCACTCATCATGTTCATATGATTGCTCGTTACATAGTATCTGAACTCTGAGGTTTTCTGTATTGCCAATAACCGGTTTTGACGCTTAATCATTAATGGAAATTTTCCTATTATGGTCATGAGGATAGGGTTGTATAGAAGAACTAACCATTAGTTACATTCTGTTGTTTTTAAGTTGTGGAACTGCTCATGCGATCGAGAATCGTCTGATTGATTGGTTGTCGGATGACGCTTGGGCTTCACTAGCTGCTCTGGAGTCATCTTCCTGTTCGCTGCCTTTAAAAGAAGCACAAGACCGTTTGGAGAGCGTCTTCACTGTGTTTATAATATTGCCGGCTTTGCCATTTGTGGTGTTACTCCTTGCCTTCCTGACAGGAGCAATGAAGGTTGGTTTATTATTTTCACTACATATTCAACATTTAGCATCGCATCACTGCTGTAGGTGCGAGCTGTTTTTGCCGATACAGAGGTCTCAAAATATCGCGACAACGAGGAATGTTGTGAATTGGTTCCGATGGTGGATAAAACAAACGAGAATGTCGAGTCAACACACGGCACGGAGCTAAATAGAGGTTCCGAATATGTCAAAATATTTTCTTCGCTATTCTTTAAACTTCATCTCTATTTAGATCTCACCTTTGAAGAAAAAGGAATTGTTCATGAGACAGATTCGTCTTCAAAATCAACGTTAGTCCTGGCATATTTTAAAAGAATCCTCTTTTAGTGTTGCTGAGATATTTACAAAACTCCAGACCGACCAGCAATTGCTTATGGCACTGATCGATAGAAAGTGAGAGACAGACGAAGTGAAAGACCCACGTGGTGTGGTGGTGAACGCGTTATCCCTCGGTAAGGGTAATAGCGCGTTCATTCCCCACCACAGACATGTGCGTTTCGAAGTTTTGCAAATATCTCAGCATCATTATAATTGTACTTCACATAATACCCTGCTGTGGAAAATTATAATAGGAAGCGAATAAAAATTTATCATTGTGATTTCGACTAGATCCTCTTGTAGTTTAACATTATTTCCTGCTCTTCTCTTTATACCTAATCGTAGAATTTGTTAATGTCAGTAACCGTTTTTCTGCGAACGTACCTGATGGAGTGGCAAATGGAGTGCTTTCAGATGAAAAAGAGGTGCGTTGTGCGTTTCGGAATTTCCGTACAATTATGAATGTTGAGTGTTTATGATTTCAGAACTGCGTTAAATCGGAAGAGACTGAGGACTCGAAGCAGCTTCCTGAATGTAAACAGGAAAAGGAACGCAAGGACGCACTTTTCAGTATTATAAATGAATTACGGGATGAACTTGCTTTTCAGCAGTGTCAGTTCCTTCATAGACCATAAAAATTTTTTAGCGTTTTTCTTAAACAAATTCTGCTTAATTTATGTTTTTATTTCAGCCATGCTTATTAATGACAATGCAGCGTGGAACATCTCGCTTTACTATATGCGAAGAACGGAGCAGTTGTTATCACAGATAGGTGACCATACGAATCCAGTCAATTCAGTTAATCAAGGTTAATCTCTAAATAAGATAACGCGTTTTTGTTTCAGATCAGGCGGTTGACTTTTCGGAAGTTCCTTTAATGAGATTTCAGGTCTGCTATCTCTGTTTGAGGAAATGTTGCGTGTACTTCCCACCGTATCAGACCATGCGCTTCAGTTATGGCGATGGATGAATTCAGTTCACGAAACGTCTCTGAAGCTCGACTATCTCCAAGGAGTTTCCAATGACCATGGGCATTCCCACTCTGTCTTCGAGTCGCAAGATGTTTATCGTCAACATAATTTACTTGCTCTTAACAGCTATCTACTTCAATCTCAGTCACGAATGAAGGAAAATTTAGCAGGAGTGTCTTCTGTAAGTGTAAATGGCGGGAAGGAGCAGACAAAAACACAGCAAGACTGTTCACTGAATAAGAAACAGTCAAGTAAATTTGTAACGGAGGTGCAAAAGATAGGCAATAAACAGGTTGCGTGTATTCCGAGCACCAGCCAAAGCTCTCGTCAAGAATATGTTGGTAATTCGGAAGCGGAAAAGCAAAATGGACCAGATCAAAATATTAAACAAAGTCACCATGTTCCTAATAATGTTAGTTGTGATCCTTCAGAAAGCAATGGTATGTTTTCAAGATTCCGCCCTTTCATGTTAAAAGTAGGTGAAATTCTGAGTGATCCAATCCAGAGCGAATAGGAGGTCGGTCTCTTCAAACACAGCGATATCAAGGAATTCCAAGAATCAGTGCCTACGCTAGCTCCTACAGCGGTGAGTGTTCTACTTCTTTTGCTTTTAGAAGTTTTCGTGAAAATTAAATGTTTAGCAACTCCACGTGGAATTTTGACCAGGTTATCTCTTCCTGAGTTGCGTCTTCGAGTTCAACAAATCAAGAACATATGTGCTGGTGATCATTTATATCCACAAGAGGTATCTAGTATAATAATACTAAGTGGAAGATACCATCGTGAAGCATCGAACTTATTTTATTCGTTTTTGAAATGTATGTTTTAGCTTGCTTACATGCTTTTGGTCATTGGTGACATCACACAAGGTGGTAATCGACCACAGGAAAACCAATTCTTCTATGCGGTTGGGCCTTTTACATTTATATAACGTTAATGAGTAATCTAGTTCAAAACACTTTGTTGTTTCAGTCTTAACTTTTTATTTGCTGCCTATCACAATTTTTTAGGGCAGGGTACTATGTGAAATATCACTGTAATGATGCTAAGATATTTCCAAAACTATCTATTTTTATTTTGCAAAACTATTTGCAAAACAAAACAAAACGGACCGCAGATGTCTGCGGTGGGAACGAACGAGCTATTATCCTTACTGGGGCTAATGTGTTCACCACCACACCATGCGAGTCCTTCTTTTCGTTTGTTTTTACTATTTGCTTATATATTCGGATGACTCTCCTTGTGAGTTGTACCAGGCCACGCACAGCTTGACTGCAATTTTTATCACTGGGCAAGATTTTTCCAGGTATTCATGAGGTGATGGTGGCATTCATAAATGAGCGCAATAACCTCTATTAGTGAACAGGGAGAAGTTCGCCGCTTTCGACATGGTTAGTGTTGGACAACAACACTCCAGCGCTGGTTGTAGTTAGATAGACTTCCGGATGGAAACTGCTAACTCTTTCACCGCTGTAGATTCCTTGACGATATTTAAATTAGCATTTCTACACCAATGAAATTCATTTCGATACAGAGACCTTTGAAGAAAAAATTTTTTTTGTTCTGGTTATATTTCTCGTCAATAATGGGAAATAAGGCAGACATCTCTGGTTGGTAAAGTGACGTACATAATGTTGTAATGCATTGTAGTTCCCATTGTTTGTATAAATCAGTCAAAGTTTATTTGTTTGTAAATATCAAACTGCGCTGCGCTTTTTTAATCCTCACAACAAGGTCTCATATTTTGTTGAGTCGAAATTTCCATTCATAATCCTAGTTAGGAGTAAGTCAATGCCAGGAGTCACTTTCAACCTTATAGCAACGTAGCCATGATGTGACAGTCATCTCTTACCAGAACCGAGGATTGCTACTGTTAACGAACTGAAAAATATCTTAGCACATCAGTACCATGATACGAGTGAGGAAATTTTGTCCTTTCATCAAGTTATCCTGCTTGGATATCTGGGAATCCTGTCTTCAAAAAATTGCGGGCCCAAACATATATCCCTTTTGCTTATTGCGCAATTGTTGTCCATGGTAGCGATCCACTGCGAAAATGGTGACGTCCGTGAAGCAGCACATTTCGACATTTTAAAATCGCTTTCCTTTCAACGTAACTTAATATAAGTCACGAAACTCCCAGCCCGCCCCATAACGATTGGTGGACGCTTGCGACATTTTAGAGTCCACTCTTCAAGTCTTTTCGTCTGTTTGTCATCTGTTCTTATTATGTGACCCGCCCATGAGTGTTTCGATATAGATTTATGTTCCACTGGATCTCGAAGCTTAGGTAGGGTTCGTTGATTTGAACTGCACATTCCAATTAGATGTTGGGAGTGGCAGTTAAATCTCATAACACATCGTGCAAGCGCTCTTTGGGTGATGCGCAGAGTTGAAGTGGTTGAAGTACCAGGGTACGTCTATGCTGCATAACAAAATGCTGGGAGGACTGTTGAGTCGAAAAGCTAACCAGCGTTTTTTGGGTCTTATAACTGTCTGAATGCTGCCCATGCTACTCTCCTGCTTCTGATTAATAATTGCTTCGTACTATTCTTGCCGTACACTATGCGCCCATGTTTGCAATCAGGGGACCATCTAGTTCGATTTGTTCAATTTCTCACCACTGGTTCTTCATGAACTGAGCTCATTTTTCCTAACTTTGTTGAAGTTACTGAGCATCGTCTCTGCTTCACTGCTAGTCTTCGAAAAAGTGATGATGTCATTAGCAAGGGAAGATTGGAAAGAATTTGCGATCAATACATGTGCACTTCGCGTCCCATTCAAGCGACTTCATTATCCACTTCAATGCAGCAGTAAGTACCTTCTGCGTGATAATATCCCTTCTTCGAGTCTCTTTTGCTATGGAGTGGGAAGGGGTGTATGGAAAGGCTGTATTTTTGTGCTTCAGTTGCACCAGTAGTAAACAGAAAACGATTTGCATGTTGTTCATGCAGCATAGTCCTGGTCGGAATCGTCTTTACTCATTTGGTTGTGCTTTAGCCGAAATTTTTGCTATACGCAATAGAAAAATTTTCGTGGACAACTTGAAAAGTGCACTCAATAAGCAAACCGTGCGTAGTTACGGGTCACTACTTCATGGGTATGGTGACCGTGCGCGAATTCTCCACCAGTTTGGGATTATTTCTTTGAAGGTAGGACATCATTTGGTTTGTGAGGAATACATGTAGTTTGAGAGGGCGGTTAGCATAGTGGTAGTGATGTATGTCCTTACGATCCTGGTCCTAGTTCGATTCCGCCTCGGGCACACCAAGCCTCTCATCCTTTCAGGGTCGGAAAATTGGTACCGGACTTGTCCGGGAAATAGTCACTCTCTGCAATCCAATTGGGAACGCTCAGCACGGTTATCTCAGGACTCCAGGGAGATTTACTGGGCCAGCATTCCACGACATTCAAGACGAGATGAAAAACCTCAAGCACTACCCAAAGCCACACGTAAAAAGTTGGAAGAATTTTGTGTACGATTGATGCGAGGGAATGAATTGGATGCGAGAAGTACTGGGATCCGCGCAGTAGACGTAAAAATGGATCAAATAAAACAAAATATGGAAAAAATGAAAAACGTAGTTTGTGGTTCCTTATTCAAAAGAAGTCGTCTGTAGTATTGTCGTCGTCGTCTGCAAGTCATCACTCAAATGGAAATCGTGCTCAGGCTCTCACTCTTCACGAAACCTTATCAAGTGGTCAGACAAGGAATATAATATAATATGTATCGATTTCCACTGTTTTTATTTGTGATAGAGATGACAAACCTGCTAATCCAGATATTACATGCCCTATTCATATGTGGAGAAATCTGTATTCCTTGAATATAGTGTGCTGCTAGATAAAAATGGTTTGATTTAGATGGAACAGTTGCCAGGAATATTCGGAACAAGAGTTCCCACTATCGATGCGAGGGTAGGAGTGCAAGACTTTCTTACTCAAATGCGTCGAAGAGCCCTGACCGTTGTTGGAGCTGTCGGTTATCATTTCTCCTTTCATACAACCGGAGGGACTAGGTAACATGAGGATTTTTGCGATATTTCATCCTTTTATATTCATATTCGATTATATCAAGCTGTTATTAATCGTTTTTATCTAGTTACACTCCTCCCGTATTACCTCCGCTAGGATTATATCGGTCAGAGAATGAACTGGTGCTTCGTAGAGTTCTGGGAGACAGCGATGACGTAATGCGTTTGTTGCGTGACTTCTTAAGGGAGTTCCAGTTTGGCAGGTGTATTTATTAATGTCAATTCACATTGAGGCTGAATCTTCAAAAATTCGGCGTTTTTTTTCGACTCATATTAATCTCGTATATTCTTCGTCTACGTCGTTCCAGGGGTCCGATCAATCCTCGTCCTGATTTGAAATTTGCTTTCTCATTCAGAAATTATCTGGCTATGGTGGCGACAAGGGAGGGATTCAACAATGACCACTATGTGAGATGAATAGGGGTCTTATGCTTTCTTATTCTCTTCATTTTTGGAAAACAACATCTTTAGTAATAGATAGCGCAGTAACCAGTCAAGTTATTGCAAGAAATGCGGGCAGAAAGTGACAGCTTTATGTATATACATATATATATATTTGTACTTACTTAATTGGTACTTGAACGGCTCGTCCTCACTGGTTGTGTGAGCTCCAGCATAATCTCCATTATTCGGAGAATTCCTGGTTAAGCCATTGTGGTTCCGTGGAATCCCGAGGTCAGCCTAGCCAAATTCCACCCCAGGTCTTTATCACCACAGGCAGTCGCAGTCCTTGTGGATCAGAAGGAGATTTGCCACAATGGGACTTTGATGCCAGACGGTTGTAGATCCTGGTATTGATTTACGTTGAGCAAGAAATATTGCAAGAATCCTATTTTCATAGGGATGATTTCTTTGCAGTCCAGATTAAAATCCATGTGGACTTAATTATTTTCATTACTGTTAAAATTATTAGTGTTTAAGTTTCACGGTTTTCTCTAGGAAGAATACATAACTGATCCGGTACCACCACCTGAAGATGTAAATAATGTGAATGCTGCTGAGAATTGTGGTAGAGAATCCGACGACAACACAGATCCTGCCCCTCCATCATGAATAACAACTTGTTTTTGTGACGAGATCTGCGTTTTTTATGCATTTCTATTAGGTTTTTGCGCTTATTAATAAGTAAAAACAGTATTAGGTAATAATGTCATAAATATTTCTTAGCGAGTAGTGACAAATAGTTCTAGATTTGACCCAACTTTTGAGTATTTGCTTTGAGATTTAAAATTTTATACTTGTGTATGTATATATGAAGTCGTCGTACTATTTGCCACTTGGTTTCCTGGTGATATCGCTTTGGCGATCGGTTTTTGTTATTTAATATTGTTATAATATTTAGCGAAAAGCAAAGCGTGTATTTACGCGTTACGAGTCATACCGATGCGAGTGTATCGTAGATGCTTCATGTTGGTGCATTTTTTGCGTTTTTCTTTGTAAATGCTAACCTCGTTCCGTTATAACAGAGTTTTTGCTTTTATCATATAAACTGCATATGTGCGGTTTCTGCTTCATTAAATAAACTATTAATTTGACTTCGTAGCATCCAAAGCTACGATTACCAGTTAGCGTTCTCTCCCCAGTGTTCCAGTTGCTTCTTTATTCTTTATACTGTGAAGTTCAGGACGTTTACTTTTACTAACGAAGAGGATATTACTGCTTTTTGCAGCTGATTTGTGCAGCAAAGTGTCATCCCAGTGGCAGCGTCACCCACGCTGAGTATGACTTTGATACTTCCGTCATAAGTCCAAACAGTAAACCAATGCGCAAAAACTGCGCCTAACAAATGGCTCGATGTCGTTCAGTTGTTTCAGTTGTTCATTGTGTGTGATAGTGGTATAAGAATGGCATGGTACTATTGTCTCAGAATTGAAGAGAATTGTACCTGATTCGCCAACAAAGGGCTATTTTTACGTCCGCGCTATTAAGCCTTAGTGCTCGTGATTGATACACGTCGGTTGGAACCATTGTGAAATAAATGTGAAGAGATGTTCAGAACGGTAGTCGCCCTGGCTGGCATGAGGAACCGTATTAAGTAACTGTACTACAGTTATACGTTCGTAATACGAAGCTTGTTACTTCCTCTGCATCTATGGTACAACACCAGTACAGTGTTACAAGGTGTGAACTTTAACTTAGAATGATACTTGGATACACGGTTTACTTGGATGGCCCGTCCTCACTGGTTGTGTGGTCCCCAGCATAATCTCCATTTTTCGGAGTTTTGCACGTCTAGCCATTGTGGTTCCTTGGAGTCCCGACGTCATTCTAGCCAAAGTGTGCCTCAGATGGGCACCACTACAGGAAGTTGTCGCCCTTGTGGATCACAGGGAGATTTGCTACCATGCGACTAGCTTGACGCCAGAACCGTGGTGGATCCTGGTACTGGTTTACTATTAGCTAGGCTTCCTAATGGAAGCACCGGTCTCCTTCTCAGCTTGGGGGATCTCGCAGATCCACTGTACATCGCGGACCAACACCCAGGATCACCTCCCAGCCACGATCTAGGGGTAAATCGTTGGGAGCTTGAAGTGATAGATTGCATGATATCATGTTTTTCGTGATCAGTATATTAGTACATTTTGTCATACCATGCCTGTGAATTCAAATTCGACGAGATTCTATTATGCTAAGTATCCATTCGTCAGGAAGCAGCCAGCACAATGGTAGTGTTGTCTGTCATCACGAGCATGGTGTTAGTTCGATCCTGCTCCCAGCCAATCAAGCCTCTCATCCCTCCGGGGTTGGAAAATTGGTGCAGGTATGGTCTAGGAAAAAACAGCTCTCTGCAGTTCAGTAGGAAACGCTCCAGTCTGGCTATCTTAAGACTTCAAGGAGAGTCGACCCGATCAGCATTCTACGCCATTCAAGACGAAATGGAAACCTTCAAGCGGCAGCCACACGTAAAAGTTGGAAGATCTTAGTGGATAATGGGTGCGAGGTAGCGAATCAAATGTGAGAAGTGCTGGGATCAGCACAGTAGACGTAAAGATCGGTCGTATGAAATGAAAAATTTGAACGAAACTCATGCTTCATGTTGAACCTTAGTGTTAATGAGTAATATAAACAGCTATTAAGCAAGCTACACTGCTGGCGAAGTCTAATGAGACTCACTGGTTGGTGGAATGGAGCTCATTCGAAATCAGTTGTCATAGTAAGAGTTCTTCGTGGGGAAATGTGAATGGGAGAATAATGAAATTTATAGGATAGTATCTGCAGCACGCTTTTTCTATGGATATCCGCTTTCCTAAGAAAAAGAAGTAGCCATCAGATCACAGCCGCTTAATACGGATGATAACCACATCCTTGCAAGCAGAAAAGACTAAGATGGAAAAATTTTAATCTTGATTTTCAGCACGCCTTCTACAGCAGGTAATAAACATTATTTTGATACTCGATTCAAGAAGAAGCTAAAGAGTGCTCAGAGAAGCGCAGTGTTTAGAAATACCGCCGTGATGGTAGTGAGTCTAATGTTGTGGTATTCTGAGCAGAACAGATTTGCACCATCTCTTACATTATACGGAATCCGTTATACGGAAGCTCTAGAACATTTATCCTTTAGGAACTGTTGAACGATATTAGACCTTCCATTTGGAGCCTGCATTTCCAGGGTTGCAAATCTCTACGAGAAATACCACCTTCTCCTTATATTAGCCTTTATGAAGTACGAGTTCAAGGCATAGAAACGAGAATCACCACACTGCACTTCGTGCTAGCAAACCCTTGCATCTTCCTGAAAGGTGAATGCGAGGCGTCAGATCTCCGGAGATATTCGCCGTTGCACAGCACTGGATAATATACTTGTTTAATTGTGTCCAAAAGGACAAATGCACTAACATAAATCTGTTGCGAAACCGTCTTGTCGACAACTTTTCGTATAATGCCATTAGAGCATGAGGTTACTGTAATAGCCTGTATAAGGAAAATTGTAGGCTTATATCTAAACCAGAAGGGAGGTCTTACCAGTCTCCAACCCATGGGAGCATTTGAGCAGTGTAGTTTGATACAGAACTAGCACAATATCAAGCCGGGCTATGCACTTATCAACAGAGTGGACCGCAAGAGATTTTAAGTTTTTCTAAGGACACAGCCTTTAAGATTCGTAGAAATTCTGATTCACGTCAGCCAGCTGTATTAGGAGGTGGTGACGAATTCTGAGTCCTCAATCAGTAAAAGAAACACGCTGCGTCATTTTATTCGTTCTAAGAATGACGATCGCTTGCGAGTGAAATGAATAGCAGCTGGGTCATTCCCATGATTTACTTACAAGTAGATTTATTTCATTTTTTTTGTTTTGTTAATACAAAGGTATTCCTTTTTAACAGTGGGTCTTTATTCCTAGAAGAAATATCAAATGATTGTCTTCTTTTTTTCGTTACACAGCAGCTTGATGTCGTATGTATTGCGTGGTAACACCATATCGATGGGGGGAACGGCGATCATCCTTTCACAGTAGTGAATGTAATCATCATTATGATGCTGAGATATTTGCAACACTTGGAACCCAGTTCAGATTCGAACTAGCGATTACTGTTTCTGGGAGTTCGCGTGTTAGCCGCTGCACCACTTGTGCCCTTGCTTTGCCGTTCTCTCAGCCAGTTTTCTATCTAAGGGTACCATCAGCAGTCGTAAGAGTATTATCATCGTTATCATCGCAGGAAAACATCCATCTGCATGCAAACATGCCATATCCACGACATCCATATGTATATAACACGTATATCCTTGCAGAAATAACTACATACTCATACTGCCACGACCGACTTTCTATTAACCTCGGCATTGAACAAGTAATTTTCTTCGTATTTTTGTTGAGCAAACGCGAGGTGTTATTATTCTTTGTTCACGATTAAGCTGACGTTTCGGCAGATTTCGCCTTTCCCAGAGCCGCTTCCTATGAGGTTTCCACTAAGTATGTCACGTAGAGACCAACCGCACAGAAATCACATGGAAGTATAATGTCCGGAAAAATCCGAATCCGCCGAAACGTCAGCTTAATCGTGAACAAGGAATAATAACACCTCACGTTTGCTCAACAAAAATACGAAGAAAATTACATACTCATACATTCACCTAGCCTCGTGTCTATAAATAACGTACGCGCAAGACACTAAGTTTTACACCCATATCTGACATATTTAGAAACGTATGTAGATCTTGCCGGCCGCCATCACCTGTAGCTTCCTGGGCCTATTTCACACACCCAGCAAACTTTGCAGGAATAACAGCTGTGCAGTCTTTTAAATACCTTAAATATATACGTTCCACTCATTTAGATGATTTAAATAATCGAATATCTACACTTGCCTGACTTCAGTTCAAATGTTTTCTTATGTTGTAGCAATCACTTCAGGCTTTTCCTTTCTAACGTACTTTTGTATATTTCTTAACTCACGTCATTCAGTCAACTATAAAACATAGTAGTATTTGCAGCTCTTCTGCGATATCACGTTTAATCGCATTAGTCATCAACTGTCTCGAGCGAGCACGAATGAAGACTCTATTAGTCTCTCTTACGTGCTAGAGATTCCCACTGAGATATACTCGCTTATGGGCCACAGTTTTTCCTCCTTTTTTGTGCCTGGATAGCCATCGGTAGCTCGCAGATGGTTCTGGCTGTGTTCACGAGTATATTGTAGGATTTCTTTGGAATGATTCTCTTCGAAGAAAACTCCGAAATAGCTTATATATTCCCCAACATATTAGTTTTTTGGCCAATTCAGCATGTCGAATACAATTCAAATGGAAGTCAGAATGATAAGATTATCGTTGTTGATCAATCTCTAAGGGATGCGCCATGCGTTTTACTTCATCAAGCACCGTCAGAGGTGACATCTTCCTATACAATCACTTGCGATGGTCTACCGATGTATCAAATCAGTGCTGCTATCTTCCTAGACAAGCATAGTAGACAAAATTTACCGACTCCACGGGGCGGAGGGCTTGGTGAGCCCGGGACATAGGTCAAACCTACGATCACATGTCTTGCAAGTCACCGGTAACTACTGCGCTAGCTATACGTGTCCTAGGATGCGAATACAAGTAGGCATATA